CATTGAGGAAAACTCACACTGTAGTTCTCATCTTTAGTAGAAACTAATGGCACTGCAAGTCAAACTAGATCACACTACTAGAAATCCAGACTAGACGAAGAGCTGCAGGACCGTGGAGATTTAAGTACGTGGCTTTCCTCTGTGAACAGGGTTCTGGAGTGCTGGGGGGAGTTACGGAACCTGTGAATTGCTAGACAATGTGTGACTGTTCTTCAGTTACCAGATTCAAAGTCATGCTTCTTTTGTACTGGGTAGGCATCTTTTAGAAATTACCTAACTCACATTGAAAAGTCTTTACCAATGAAACCACCTTAAACTGCTGTGTTAGCACTTCCAAGAGTATTTTTTAAAAGTTATACATCTGATTCTTTTGACACTTAAATTGTATTGTAATTTATTTTATTGATTGCAGTATTGAATTTTAGCATGATGCACCCTGTTGTGACAAACTGGTTTATTTTCCCAAGCAAATCAATATTAGAGGAATAAGATTAAGAATGGTTGGTGGCAGTAATGGGATTCTCTCCTATAATTTCATTCTTCAGTTGTATACTGCTTCCTTTCACATGTGAGCTGTTAAAGTATCACTCTTTCAACATTCTAGACCAGAAGCAAAGTTTCTGAAATTTAAGGGAAGTTTATTTTGTTTCCTTAGTACCTGATACACAGCTTTTGAAGGTAAATGAACTTTGAGAAGTGTGTTTCAGATCTGTTCCTGAATATAACCTTCCTGAAAAGACAGGCTGCTTGTGTGTGGTGACTCCTCTGTAACTCAGTTTCTCTTCAGTCGATTTCTTCTACATAGCTGTTGACAAGTCAGGGAATCTTTCAACAGTATAGCAAAACGTTAGACTGGGGGAGGCAATAACTTTGTGTTTCTTTATTTAGGAATAACGTAACTTCATAGTGTGGCATCAGTAATTTTTCTTGGTGCTTTAAAAATACGAGAGTCTTGATTAGCTATGAGAATTTCCAGTTTATGTTTTCATGTGAACAGCTGTGGATGTGAATTGAAGATAATTAAGTTCAATGGAACTCCTCAGACTGTAGTTATATTAATAACCCTATGCTTGTATGGAAAGTAGCTGTGGGAGGGCAGTAGTCATGGTGTTGTGCGTATTAAGCTGTCTCTTACTACGGAGGTTTTCATGAAACCTCAGAAGTGTTGAGGTGAATTTGTAGGTTTCAAAGCTAAGCAAGGCAGTCTGCAAATAGCGTCTCTGCTGTGCAGAAGGGAATGTATTTTCAACACCTCAATTTGCAGGCACAAATAGAAGCTGGAGGAAGGCATGGTGGTCGCTGACTCCACTAGCTGTCAGGTTTTACGGTTCTGTTTCCATCTGAAGAGTGGATCCGGATAGCTTTTGAAAGGAGAAAAAGTGGAAAATAGGTATTCTAATGATCAAAGTATTGTGATTTTATTGACTTTGGGTATTCATATTGCCAGATAACATCCAAAACTCAGGTAGTGTGAGCTGTGTGCGTTACTGTATGGAAGAGGCAAAAATAATGTGCAGCTGTGTTCTAACTTGGGTTTCTTGTTTGTTTTTCTCAAGATATGGCTGGTTTATGCTAATACGCTACTGGTTCCTCTATTACTCTGTACAAACCTTCATTTTCCAAAGGTTTTTAAACATCTCACCTTTGAAGCAAGCTCCATGACTGTGTAATGGGGCAAAATGGAAGGAGATGCCTCTCTAGTCCTGTGCCACGATGTGCTTAAGCTCTCTGTGGTCTGCTGCTTGATGCCTAAAAATCTGTGACTTTGGTTCCATCACCTTTAATATAATGTGTCATTTGAGAAAGCTTTATTACAGGAATGCTTGTAAATAATATTATAGGTTTTGTTCGTTTTCTCTATCTACATAACAAAATCTTGAAAAAAGTCTAAATGGGAACAGTGCAAATGTGAAACACCTTTCCTGATTCCTAAATGTTTGAATAATCCCTTGAGTGTCCTGGTTATTCACATATCTGCTTAAAGAATTTGATTTATGAGGAGTTACTTAGCAAAAGATAAGTATATTTTTACCTTCATGACAACGCTGCTGAAAGATGCTGTATTTCTTCATTATTTTAACTAAACTGGTTAAGTTCAATCCATTTAGGAGATGGCTTCTGAATTTTTATCCTACTTAATACTTGCTCTTTTAGCTAATTTGAGCATTTTTGTGAATTTAATGAGAAACCTGATACCAAAACACATAAAAGCACTTAATGCTTTTCACAAACTACACCGACTTTTTCCATGTTAATTTTTCAGCTCTGGTATGCTTTCAAATCTGTTCTAAGTCCTTGTAAAATAAGGCAGGCTTTTTTGCAACAGAAACTGACAGATGTCTAACTACAACTGCTTGTAGGCAACAGTGTACCACTGGAATGTAAGCTTTAATGAACTAGTATTACATGAAACAGTACTCTTAATTTGGTGTGTGACCCTGTTATGTAGCAAACGTTGACGCTTTGGAATAAGAACTTGGAGATGCTGTAAACCTACTTGTAATAAATACGATTAATAAGGTACATAGAACAATGAAATTAAGTACATTTCTATCAAAAAGAATTCTTAATGAACAGAAAGTGGGCAGCATAGATCTGATGACAGGAAGGTTGCATCTAATCTAAATTACTGAGTGACCCAGGAAGCTTGCTCAGAGGGATTGCCGAATAATTATGTTAATATGCAATTATCACCTCATTTCTGCTGTAGTAACCTCAAGATGTAGTGTAGTAAGGGTGTTATAGCAAGTGCTGATAGTTTGCAAAAATACTGATGTTCAAGATTTTTGAGACAATAAGATTAGCTTAAAGCATTTAAATTCTGATCTGTCAGCTTGAAGATAGATCTGACCTTACACTTTTTTGATGCTTAGACTATCTGGCCACAGGCAGTCATATCTGAAGAACTCATTATGATTTTAAAAACTGATACTTTATGAAGAAAACCAATATTAAAAATTATGTAAATTTAAAAGTACTTAATTAAACAGGGTGGAATGTGTCTTGGCTGAGTAATTGATTGTTTTCTGCTTTTGAATATGAATTCGTTTCTGTATAATAAAGTGTATCATGTAAACCAGGAATAACGCTGTTAACTGCACTATGGTCATTCTAGGCTTACCTGACATAACTGAGTTAAATTTGGCCTGGCCTTTTAGATAAAGTATGTTTCAAAGGTATGAACCTGGGATTGTGTGTGCTTGTGTTGGCTTTTTAAACATTGGCATTTTTACACTTCATGTGTCTTAGGTATATAGCACTAAAGTGCTTAAATAATTGTATGATGTTTGCCCTGGTAGAGGATATAACAAACACTATTCACAGCAAATTTTAAGTTTGATCTCAGTGTTTAGTTTTTCAAGTACACTAAGGAAGGATTAATTACTGTGTTAGGTAGTGTTTCAGTTTGGGTGTTGCACTTCCTCAGTGATATGAGTTAGATCATAATGTTTCCCCCAAAATTACAGGATTATACAAAATATTTTCTTACATGTGTCTAGTTACACCTATCATTGTTCCTGAATAAATTTCTACACATGGAACAGATAACGTAAATGAAGTATTGCATCTTGGCTAGGTGTCATCATAAGACTAAATTACTGTCATTTTATGTGCTTTCTTAGTACCACACTGTTAAAACTGTTTTCTTCTTGTTGTCATGCGCGTAAAACAGTGAATTGTACCACCCTGATACCTGGAAAAGTATGACAATTAGTAGAAAATTAATAAAACTTTAGAGATATTATTGATACAGTAAGCATTTCAGGCTTCATTCAAAGATTGAAATCTTGTAGGAACAGCTGATTACCAGAGAAGACTTCTAATCAGATCCATATGGAATAGTTCACAATCTCCATAAATACACAGTATGGAAGCGAGTCTCTTACAAGATTGCACAGTGTAATGTTTTAGATACTGCTCATGATAACTCTGAAGAGAGTCTCCGTTTAAAGGTGATCGTATGGTGCCCCAGCCGCCGTTTTAATGGAAGCTTTAACACTAATATTTAGCATCAGTATGGTTTTGTATGAAGAGCAACATGGTTTTGTCTTCATCACATAAACCTGTGAAAAGTGTTCAGGAGCCATTCTGATAATGAGGATTGCAGCCTCCAAGCAGGCACGATATTCTCAGTTTGCCTCCCTGCTGTTCAGGGGGTAGTAGTGAACTTGCTTTAAATGGGAAGCGTCTGTTCTTCCCCTGAACCCCTCACACCAGAACAGATGGGTGGAACTTGGAACGTGGAAGGTTTTACCTCAGAGGTGGTAACAGTGAAGCCACTCATTAACACTGAATTTACCACTTCGTTAGCAACATTGCTTCCTGTTGGGAAAAGCTAATACAGGCTCTCAGATTGACTGAGCATATATTTGTCTACCTCTGCAGTAATAGAACAAGGAAAACACACGTCTTTTAGGCAAAACTGTCTTACTAAATTTCTTAACTTTCTGTGACCATGTTTATACTTTGCTGCATGATACTGTGTGAAGCTCACTCAGTTCAGCTGTAAAATTGATGGGGCTGTTGTGCATCCTTGGAGGTTTCGCTTCTTTTGACTTACGCATTACTGATTCTTAGTGCACGTTTGCACTGCCCATTTTTAACTTGTGTACGTGATGTAAAGACTCCTGCTGGGTAGTGCATTATCACCATTTTACGGTGATAGCTTTGAATGTGATCTTATTGGAAGTCTTTATTATGGTAGAAAATGACCCATCTCAATATTTTTTCTTCAGAATAGTAAATAAATTGTATTACATTCAGGCTTAGGTTTTACAAATGTAAAGGAGGTTAAAGCATTTGTTTTGTCCTTTTGCCAGTTGTGAACAAAGCAAGCGCAATAACAGAGAATTGCCATGAGGCCATAGCTAGCTTTGAATTGTGTGAATAGCTGTCATAATGTTGAATTTAAAAACTAATACAAATGCTGGATTTATTTTAGAGTGTGACATACAGAGGTGAAAGTGGTGTCGTTTAACCAGGTTGTTTTCTCTCCTTAGGAAAAAAGGATGTCAAGAGTGATTATCCTTAATTTCGATGAAGGACCATTGCAGGGAGCCATGGATATTACTTGTGAGTTGTAACATCTTAATTCAGAGAGTCTAGGTAATGACTCCTTTTAACTGAGATCTATTAAAAATGTTAATTAGTAACTGAAACTGAGTATGTGATGGCAGGAATCAAATCCCCCAAAAGATCAAAGCAAGTAGTACTCTTTAAGGGTAAAAGATGTGATTTCTGTAAAATATGGATGTTTCTGGCTCCTGGATGGGTGTTTTAATGCCTTATGCTAACTGTGTTCTAAGGTTCTGTATAAGAGGTAAATGCCAGGGTAGAACTGAAGTTCACGCTCCAGTTTATTATATACTGATTTTCATATGGAGGCAGTTCCTTTGTGCTCACTAAGCATTGGGTAGATGCTTTTGTGTATGAATGTAAGTCACTTGTAGAAAGACATACTTACATACACAAGGTCTCCTAGAGGCAATTAATATGTAGTAGTTCTCAGTATTAATGGATGGTGTTATTGTCATGCTCTGGATTCAACATTTTTTCTGGTAGATAAATCCTAATTATATAATTCTAATTTGGGGGGGGGTGGGGTGGAAAGGGAGTGCACCTTTGAAAATGTGCTGGCTTATTTGATTATAATTTAAAACGGGACTTATAAGCAGGATTTGACTTATTTTAAAGCAAGAAGAGCCCTTTTGTAAGAAAGGAATGGGAAGACTTGATTTCTTCAGTGAGTTTGATCCTTTGCTATGTCTCTATCAGTAATCAGATGTTCGAAGTCAGCTTAGCTTCCTCTTTTAATACCAAAGCAAGCACTTCCTCAGGCTTATGTATAGCATCAGGTCAGTTGTATACAAGCACTATGAAAAAAAGTGCTACCTTGAGATACTTAGAGATTATTTTAGTTTTGTAGGTCCTAAAGGGAGGTATGTTTAAAAAGCAAACAAACAAAACACTAAGATGTCTAGTAGGTATCTGAGTAGCCTTTACTCTGAACTTGTTTTACTTCTAAAACTAAACTAAACTAAACTCTGTTTATGTTAATATATATGTAGAATATATTTGCACAAGTCTTTGACAATCTCATTTCCCCCATCTTGCTTGCATGTAGGTGTTTTTGAACTGGGGTACTGGGCAGTCGCTAGTTTGCTGTATGGTTATTAGTACAATATATGTATAGGTAATTTTTATAATTGCAGTACTGATTTTTTTAAACATCTTGAATATCCTAAATGAAAAAAATACATTTCTAACAAGTTCAAAACATATTTTTAGATTACAGTGTAAAGAAGGCTGTCAATTAAAATTAGCGGTATTCATTTCTGTGATTGCCTGATTCTGTTCTTGTTTGGTTTTTAGTGTAAATATACTTAATGGACAGACCAGCAATATGGATGATTTAGAGATAAATACTGAAGTCACTGGTGCTAAAGAAGAAGAAGAAATCCTCTGTGATGATAATTTCATATCTGAGGAAGAAGGTGGCATTCTTAAACCACAAGAGAGCGACACGTCATTTCAGAACAATACATTGACTCTGCCTGAGGAGCTGTCAAGGGACGGATCTGAAAAAGCCTTAAGTGGAGGCCAGGCTTCTCTATTTATACACACTGGTGCTCCTACTGTTTCTAACGAAAACTTTATCTTGTCTAGAGGAACTGCTGTTAATGGACCAGTTTCACACTCCACCTCAGCTAAGACTTCCATTATGAATAAAGGCAGTGTTTCATTAACCACTGGACAGTCTGTAGGTCATCACACAGATTCCTGCTCAACTTTGACAGTGGTTCATGATCTTCAGCTGCCTGCAAAGAGTACAACACAGAAATCAAATCAGCACCAAGTTTTATTTTTGTTACCTGATGTAGCACATGCTAAGAACCTGACTCATTCCATTAAAAATCTACCTACCTCTGCTTCAATTGGTTGTGATTCACAGAAATCAGTAGGAAATAGTGTAGATAGCACTTTAATAGGCCAAGTAGAAGTTTGTGAGGATGATAAAAATTTACTAGTAAAAGATGATTGTGTCGATACATTAACAGGCATTTCCTCAGGTACAGGTGGTTTCAGATCGGGGTGTGATCCCAGCTGGGATCCACAAAAAGAGTTTATCCAGTTTCTGATGACAAATGAAGACACAATAGAGAAGTCTCCCATTCACTGTAAAGTAGGCTTAGAAAAAAAACGGAAAAGGAAAATGGATGTTAGTAAAATAACACGCTATACTGAGGACTGTTTTGGTGATACCAGTTGTATTCCTAGTAAATCAAAACTGTTAAATGTTGACTTTTTAGAGCAGAATGAGGAGCTGCAAATGGTAGAACCACAAAAATACTCATTGAGTAAAGTAAAGCCTGAATCCCCAGATGAAGAGCTGGAAGCTGTTGATGCTATCCAGCAGCTCATTTACAGTCCTGCTAGTAACTGTGCAGAAGATACTTCTCCTGTTCACACTAGCACTTTTCTTACCAATACTTTACAAAATAAATGTGAACAGGATGAATCTGAATCACCATCCACTTTCAGTACTGATGAACCATCCTTTTATCCCTGTACAAAGTGCAATGTGAATTTTAGGGAGAAGAAGCATCTGCATAGGCATATGATGTACCATTTAGATGGGAACAGTCATTTCCGTCATCTCAATGTCCCCAGGCCCTATGCGTGTAGGGAATGTGGAAGGACATTTCGAGATCGCAATTCACTTCTTAAACATATGATAATTCACCAGGAAAGAAGGCAGAAACTGATGGAAGAAATCCGTGAGCTGAAAGAACTTCAGGATGAGGGTAGGAGCGCACGGTTACAGTGCCCACAGTGTGTATTTGGTACCAATTGTCCCAAAACATTTGTGCAGCATGCAAAGACCCATGAAAAAGATAAAAGATACTATTGCTGTGAGGAATGCAATTTCATGGCTGTGACAGAAAATGAACTGGAATGCCATCGAGGGATTGCTCATGGAGCAGTAGTCAAATGTTCTATTATCGGTAGCGACATGTCCCAGAGGAAAACGCAGAAAAAGGCGTCCTTGAAAGATCCCTATTTAGGATCCTCAAAAAAGTCATCAACGTATATGTGTAAGATGTGTCCTTTTTCTACATCAACTAGAAGCATTTTAAAAAAACACATGGAATATTTGCACCCAGCGTCATGCATTGATCCCTTTGGTAGCCATCTTAGACTAGACAAAAGAAAAGGCAGCATCATAGAAGAATCTTTAGATTTCGGTAGCAGGACAAAACAGTTGATCAAACAATCTTCTACTTTTCCAAAGAACTCTGTTTTAAAACAGGATGTAAAAAGATCATTTGGCTCTACTTCACAGTCCAGTAACTTCGCAAAACTTCACAAGAGGCCCTACAGGATACAGAAGGCTCGGAAAAGCGTTTCACAGACATCTGTAAGTGTGTGCAATCTAAATTCCACAAACAAGACCTTTTTGATTAGAAATAGCATTGACCAGAAACCTAAGTATTTTCATCAAGCAGCAAAGCAGAAAGCTAGTGTCAAAGCACGTGGTAATAATTTGTATAGGCACAAATATGAAAACTACAGGATGATAAAAAAATCTAGTGGCTCTTATCCTTTGCATTTAAAAAAGGAAGAGTCCAACTCTGTCAGTTCTTTACATTTATTTTCCTCATCAAGTAGTCCCCGTAATAATTGTTTTTACATGGATTCAGATAATCTTGATTGCAAAAGGGCAGAAGGCTGTAAAGCTCGTAGGCGTGTAGCTGTAAAGAGAGTGGTTAAAGAATCCAAGAGGGAAGGCTCTGTTAAAGGAGATGATTTGGATTGCTATCCAGATTTTCTGCATAAAATGACTGTTGTTGTTTTACAGAAACTTAACTCTGATGAAAAAAAAGACAGCTATGAAACGGAGGATGAAAGTTCATGGGATAATGTTGAACTATGTGATTACACTACACAGTCTGTGGAGGATGAATCTTACAGTGATATTAATCAGGAGCATGTAAACCTATTCCCCATATTCAAAGGTAAAATGGAAGATCATGAAGCTGGTGATAAATCTTCACTTAGTTATGAGCAGAATGATGGCTTTTATTTTGAGTATTATGAAGATGCTGACGGTAGTAACTTCCTGCATGATTTGCATGATCCTCAGAATTTAGAAAATGTAGGATCAGCGTTGCCAAAGCATAATTCAGTTTTCCATTGGACTGATTTGTCGCTTGAAAAGAAGTCCTGCCCATACTGTCCAGCAACCTTTGAAACAGGTGTTGGATTGTCTAATCATGTCAGAGGACATCTTCACAGAGCTGGACTAAGCTATGAAGCCCGTCATGTTGTTTCACCAGAACAGATAGCCACAAGTGACAAAATGCAGCATTTTAAAAGAACTGGAACAGGAACTCCTGTTAAACGTGTTAGAAAAGGTAAGTTTGGGGGAGTTCTGTGTTTTATTTTGGTTTTTAATTTGGGTATACAGTAAAGGGGACAAAGGGATTTACTGAGCACTAAGCAAGACTTGCTTTATCTTGTTGTAAAGCCCCTCGTCGTCGTGATTTGCAGTTGTGATGTCTCACTGCCTGTAGTTGTCAAAAAACATTATTATTGTTTCCTTTGTAGCGATTGAGAAGTCTGAAACTTCCTCTGAGCATACGTGTCAGCTCTGTGGAGGCTGGTTCGATACTAAAATTGGATTGTCTAATCATGTGCGAGGACACCTGAAGAGGCTTGGCAAAACCAAGTGGGACGCACACAAGTCTCCAATCTGTGTTCTGAATGAGATGATGCAGAATGAAGAGAAGTATGAAAAAATCCTAAAGGCTTTGAACAGTCGCCGCATTATTCCCAGACCGTTTGTTGCTCAGAAATTTGCATCAAATGATGACTTTTTATCTCAGAATGTTATACCTCTTGAAGCATACCATAATGGCCTAAAGACTGAAGATACATCTGTGTCTGCATCAGAGGAAGAAGGGCTGAGTTTCCTAAATGAATGTGATGAAACAAAAGCAGTACTACATAATGAAAAAAAAAATCAGTCACTTACACTGATAGAACTCCTGAAAAATAAGAGGTTAGGAGAAGAGAGGAATCCTGATATTTCTCCTCAAAAGATTCATAATCAAACTGCAAGAAAGAGGTTTGTTCAGAAATGTGTTCTTCCATTAAATGAAGACAGTCCATTGATGTATCAGCCACAAAAAATGGACTTGACTATGCAGTCAGGTAAGAAGGTGTTTCTAGCCATCTTGACAGCATTTCCAAAGAATCTGTTAATTCCTAGAGAAGGTACAAGTGCAGAGTATTTTATTTGGAATTCTGTTCATTTAATTCTTATTTCGTTTCCAGAGGACACTGACTGCGAGCAGTAGCACAGCAAATTATTCTGACATGGTCTTACTAAAGTGAAAAATAACCCACAGCAGCACTGAGGGGGTTTTGTATGGAACAGAGTTCCTGTTCTGCATGTGGCTGGGCATACAAACTCAAAGCAGACATAAAATAAGCCTCAGTAAGGAGCAAGACACATCCTCCAATACCAAGTTGAAGTGTCCATGCATATTTGGTAGACTTAACAGTTCTGAAATGTTTGGGCTTCTAACCCTGTTTCTGGGCATTAAAACAGCTGGTTTGGGAGCTACTTCACTGAAGTCTTTCAGGTTTGTGCAAAGCAACATCTGCTCAAACTAACAGAACTGTTGATACTGTTATAAACACATAATATTGCAAAATGGTGAATTGCTGTCAACTAATTCTGATGGTTTTAGGCAATTGTACTCTTACAACATAGGTTAATTCTTGTTTGTTTCGAAATTGCGGCTGCTGTGAGAAACTGATGCTTGCTTAGGGCCTGTCTGTCCTGAGTGAAGACTGTGCTGGTTCAAGCTTTGTTGGAGTACAGTTGTAGCCAGCAGATTCCTGATGCACAGCCCCTGACCCTTATAAGAACCTAGATTGCCCCTCCACTGAGAATTGTGCTGAAACAATTCTGTAATCAACTTCCTTGATACTCTGTATACTAATAGAGTAGGTTTTCAGAGTGATATTTTTAATCTACTTCACATAGTAGACATTCTGGTCTTGGGGAATTCTTACAACAATTCTTTTAACATGTACGTAGAGCTTGTATTTACCCATTTCTTGTTTGGACACCTCCTTATAGTGCTGCAGGAATCTTTAGATTGAGGAGCAGGATCTTATTTTTATACTCCTGAATATTTTTTGTTCTGTTGGTTTTCTTGTTGCTACCCAGTGCAGGTTAGTAAAACTGGCAGTGCCTAGTACTTTTTCACCTATATTCTTGTCTTTCCTTAAACATATAAACACAACAACAATCTGACATGCTTGGAAGTTCTTTTAGGGGACTACAGAAGTGTGGCAGTCAGTCTCTTAACAAAGGTGGCTTTCTAAAATGACATAGTAGAGGTGGAACAGAATTACATCTCTTGTCTTCTGGACATCCGTGGTTGTCCTTTAAGACAGGAAATTGCTTAATAAAGGAAGTGTATCTTTGACAGGCTTAATGATTTGAAAAGCAATGCTAAAGGAATAGCTTGCCAAACCTGACACTCTGTATTGCTTTCTGTTTTAATATTTACTGCTGAATACTAGCTAGTTCCTGTTTGGTTGTGATGGACAACCAGGTAAAAATAAACACGTGCTTGTATAGTACTAACAGTTACGATTGGGGGCCTATCTCTGGCTGAGTTAACAGAATTTGACAACTAACGCACTGCGCCAGTTGAGTTAATACGAAAATACTTAACATAGGTTGAAATTCTTCTGTTTTTCTGTAAAAAAGGCAAATGTTTCTAATTCTGGTTTTTAGTTTTTATAAAGGTTTTTACCAGCCAAGTATTCGTCTTCTGTAACTTGCCTAAAAACAGCATGTCTTCTGTGGGCTGCTGGAGAATAGCATTCTTTCTTTCCATCAAACACAGGGTTTCCAGCTGAGTAGTTTTAGCTTTTTCTGTTTATTCTTCTAATAATTTGTTGATAGAGAACTTGAAATGTTAGTTGACCAAAACAATGTATCTTTGGTAAAACAAAGGGAGAAACATTACCGTGAAGGTGAGCAGGGGATAAGTTATAATGGTTTCTTGGTTTCTTTGTCTGGTAAGTGAGGAGTTCAGTATTGTTTCACTGCTTTCCTGTGATAATAGCATGTTACTCTGTTGATCATTTATTTAGCACAAAGATCTTAGCAAAAAACTTCAAATCATTAACTTTCATTATTGATTGTGCAGCTAAAGTAATGAACAGAAAATGCACTGAACAAATTGTTCTGTCTTAGCAGCTGTTCAGTGCTGTGTTTTACCACCTTTTTCTCCAAGCCTTCAACAGCAGCCTAATTTAGTGTTGAGCTCTTCAGTCTTGTGGGTAAAACACTTTTAATTACCGCCTTGTCAATGAGACTACTTAAATTCCCTTTATGAGAAATGTTGCAAGCTCTGAAATTTCTCAAAAGAATTGTGCTATTCAAATTGCAGGATTGTATTTTGGGACTAGAGCTTCATAATGTGGAGATCTGTAGGAACATGATAGTAGGTATTAACTGCAGAGTAGCCTACTGGGCTCAAGTTGCCTCCTTTCTGTTCTTTTTCAAATGACATGGTTTGGCTTAAAGCACTACATGGAAAACTAATAACAGTTAACTTGGATCCTTCTAATATACTAAACAATTGCGTCAATGCAGTGAATATATTTTAAACCATCTTTATTGCAGAAAACTTTTTACAACGCTTTGAGAATTTCATTTTTTTGAAGAGAGAACTGGATTATAGTTTTCTTTTGAATGATAGGTATGCCTGTGAAGCTTAGAACGTGTGTGCATTGCAATACGACGTTTACAAGTGCTGTTAGCCTGTCCAACCACTTACGCGCTTATGCACGAAAGAAGAGTGCTGGACTTTTGACTGGGACAGGTATGTTTTGTTACAGATGTAAAAGCAAGTCTGTCTATGATACATTTTCCTCATCAGACTGGACAAAAGCATATGTTAATTCAGAATTATTTTGAAGCTTCTACTGGTAAACAGTTGATTTGCCATGAAACTTCAGCAACTTGTAAGCAAAGGTATGTTGCTGTTGTCCACTCTCATGCCTGATTTTCATTCTTATTCATTTATTTTGGATCCAACACTTAAGGTATGTAAGCAAAACTGAGGGATGGTTGCTTAAATTCATTCTCCTACAATATCACAACTTCCAAACCAGCCTTCTAATGAAGTGTTTAAAAGTACCTCACTGACGAGAGGGGGGGACATAAAAACCAACCCCACAACAAGCCAACAAGTAATTTTTACAATCTAGCACATGAAATTGCTAAAAGCACTGTTGTTCAGATAGGAAAAGCAAGTAATTCTACAGTTTGTGTATTTATGGCAACATACTATATGTAGCTGGTTTCATTTCTTGTTTGGCTCACAACCCCAAAATTACCTGGTCTGATGTGGAGTGAGTGCAGTACAGCATTTGGCACTGCTATTAATGGTTTTTATTAAAAACCACTTCACTTTGAAATTCCTTGAATAGTGCATATTTTGCCTGATTTCCAGAGGCCTGCAGTTTGGTTGGCTATATAGGCAGTTTCTGAGTTCAGTTAGATTATTGCTCAGATTACTGAGACTTTGTATGATTGTGCAACAGAGGTGGAATATAGAGAGGAAGATTTGGAGACAAGAAATCAGGGATATTCAGTAATTAAGAAGGGCAGCCATCAGTTTTCTGTGTCATCAAGCACAGATTTTAACTGCAGATGTAATTCATTATGCTAAGAATGACAAACTGAGTTAGGGGCTTTCTCTGCAGAAGGGTAAAAGAAATACTTCTACAGACAGGGCCTGTGGCTGCCAGGTCTTATGTTACATCAAGTTAATGATACAGCATAATAGATTTAGAAGGAAGTCAGCAGATGCAGTAATATCCAATGCATAGGAGTATATGCCTTTAGTTAGTGATTCTGAAAGTTTTCATATTTAGTCAGTAGAAAGATGATGGCAGTGGACATCATTTACCACTGCTGTAACTGTGGTAAGTTACTTTGCTTATATACCTACTGGTGACATACTTTCCAATAGCTGTATATTTAAATTGCATGTTGAAATCTTCAGTGGAGGAAGCGCTGTGGCACATAGGATAGTACACAGAAATTGGATCCTGGCCAAGCTCCTTGTAACTCAGCTTCCTTTTTGCTAAATGGGAAAAGTGAAGGAAGCTTGTTAAGGTGCTTTCAGGGATATTTGTTTTATTTAAAATATGTATTTTTCTAGCGAAGTAGTAGCATGCTCATTGGAGCAGTGGCCACTTTCTTTAAAAGAACTAAGAGAAAACTCCTGAGGCTTGTATCATTGGACCTAGAAGTTTGTTTAAAATTAGGTTAGAAGCAAAATGAGGTTAGAAACAAAGCTGAAAAAGAAAAAAAAAAAAAAGGTTAGAAACAAGAATTTAAAACAACCCAAATCTTTTGATTGCAGAAGCTGGAGCTGATAAATAAATTTGGATAAATTTGGAGATAAACAGCCTGTACCATGTGGTTAAAGGCCCGTCACTGGAGCCAGTCAGTGACTTAGGCTTAAGTTCTAGCTATAACTTCATTAACTTCATGCAATCAATGTTAACTTAGTCATTACTATTAAAACTGCTATAACTGCAAAGTTTGTAAGCTTGCTTGTTGACTTTTCATTTGAGCAAGCTCAATGCAAGGCTCATAGACCAGAAAAATAAGCTTTTAAAAAGTGGTTTTATTTGATATTCCACTTTATATTATAAATTTTAGTGAAGATAAATGTTTTAATGAAACATTTCAATAGCACACACTACTTTTAAACTTTGCTATGAGTGTTGCTCTTGGGGAATCTCAGGGTTTTTTTGTTAAAAGGTGGTTGCAGTTGAGAACAAGATGTCTTTGGTTTGGCTTCAGCCTGGAACCTATATGGAGGCAATGATATGCTCATACAGAAGGTCCCTTCTTCTGCTTTCACAAAGCCTTTGTTATATCTTCTAAAGTAAACATAACTACCAAAAAGAAAGCATGTTGGTTGAATACTTATCTCAGTTTCTTGCTGTAGGTCTGTAATTGTGTGTAAACACAAATTGCAGTTCTGTTAACTGGCAGTTACAGAAGCTGTCTAGGCATTAGTGTTTAGTAACAGAAGTGCAGTGATCTCTCTGTATCACCAAAGGGAGACCTTTCCCAGCACTACATTAGCTAGCGTACTAGTCTTTTGCTCAGTTTTGCAGTTTGTCTGCATGTGGTTTTGATGTTGACTATTACATTGCTTTCCTAGCAGATGCCCTGCTTCTTCAGAGTCAGTAATTGGATCACATTTAGTTTGTTGGGGGTGGGGGGGGTGGTGATGTTTTCTTTTTACTCCAAATACAGCTTGACAGTTTTAGCAATATAATACACTATGTGTGTAACACACTATGTTAAGCATAATGGGAGATCTTAAGAATGGACTCAAGAAAAACATCCTAGATGTACAACTTTCTAGGCTGTTGGCATTTCCTACGTTAGTGTTTATTAAACTTAATTTGTGGCTGTAGTTACGTGGTATGGATCCACTGTATAGCAAATCCTTGTCTAGGTCCATTTGGATAGTTCCTTTTGTATCTGCTTGCATCATGGTCTTCAGGTGTCTGAGTGGAGCATGAATTTGTTGTTAATGTGGTCTGATTTTGAACAACATAATTATTTAATCGCTCATCTTTAGTAGATGACAATCTTGTATATCCGTTTTGATTAAGAGCAACACATCAGTGTTTCTCAGAGGATGTGGCAGACTTGCCTCTTTCTTCTGATTAGAGCACTGGACAGATTTATGCAAGATTTTCACAGTGCATCTTGCTCTTCTTGGTACAGTTTTATATCCAGGCTTCCTTTTCTTTTCTCTAGGTCTCTGTGGACCCTTCCCCTCCTCCCTTGAGTCTTTTGATACTCTCTTGCACCCTGGCTTTTTACATCTTCTCTTTGCTGCCTATTTTCACATTCTCAAGTCTCTTCTTTACAGCTGTCATCTTCTGGGTATCACCATTCTTTCCTTCAGTCTTTGCTTCTGTAGATGGAGACTGCTTTTCCAGAAGTTTGGGGGAGAACAATAGAATACAGAGTGAGGAGTTCGGCCTTTGAGCCAGTAGTATGACTGAGGTAGCAGTTCATGCAGCCATTGTGCTTCCAGATAATTTCTGATACTGCTTTGTCAGAATTGTAGCTTTGGGAAGTTTGACTGGAAGCATATGCAGCTACAGCAGAGACCTGAGATCCACTGGCTTTGCATGTCTGTATTCTGTGCTGCTACACTTACAACTGATTAACTAGCACAATAAGCTGATATTTAGTATCCCATTAAATCCTTCAGGTAGTAAATTACTCGAGGGGGTTTTCAAATACATTTTACTGTGCTGTATTGATGAGAATAGATTGCAAGTGATTGAATCTGAACATTCATTATTCCTTTTTAATTGGCAATGTTTTTAAATGGTTAATTGATCCATTTATGTGTGCAGTTATTCTGCTTGTGTTAGCTTACATATGCTGTGGCAAAAGTAACAAAGTCTGGATGAAGACCCAGCTTCAGTCTTCCTGAAATGAGAAATGTTCCGTGTTGGGGGACGTCAAGAAGTGGAGCATGATTCTGTGCAATTTAGCATAGATGCCCTTTAATTGTGAACTACAGACCAACTGTTATGACATGAAGGACCCATAATTGTGACTTTCCTAGTTCATGTTGTCTTAGGCATGCTCATTTAAGCCTCCCATCTCCATCTGCTTGTAGTCTTTATTGATAAGCAGTCACAGAGTTAAAGAAGGGGTTTATGTGCAACGTTTTTACTTAGGATGTGTTTTTTGAAGAGGTTTGATGAAGTGGTGTAATTGTTTTTTTACAAAAAGGTTTTGGAATAGCAACCAGGAAACACTGGGCAGCCAAGCTTGAAGGAAGGAGGTTTTTTCCAAAAAAGAAGCCTTTATGGAGAATGAGGATAGTTTGCGAGCTCTGATAGCCACAAAGTAGGCTTTAATGGTAGGTGGTTCCTGTGTCTCTCTGGCAATTTGCTGCAATTTCCATGCTGCTTACTGGAACTGAATATCCTTGGGCTCTTCCTGGAAGTGATAAAAACATTTTCTTAGCAGGTCATGCTTTGTTACAGTAAAGGATTGGAAGAACAGTAATTTTTTGGTCAGAACATGGCTTTCTTACAGGTGAAGCAATAGCGTGATGTACTTGATGCTTGCTTGTAAGCGTCGTATCAACAGAGTACTTAAATGTGTGCATGCGACTTCATTTCAACTTGTTACTCGCTGGATGGACACTGGATGTATGTTACAGTTACTGGTACACGTCTCTGATAACTGGCGTTGGAATTACGTTTTTCGATCAGCTTTACCCAGCTGTTACTCTTTCTCCACTTAATTTCCTGCTTCGTGGGAGTAACTTCAAAATGTACTTGTGCTGCTTCGTGCCCCCTAAGAAGTGAAGGAATATGTTCAGTAGATATAAAATGAAAAGGGAACAAAAAATAATCTTGCAGAACACAGGTTTAGTATTCTTAGTGCTTGCTGTCTTTTGGTAACAGCTTCTTGCTCAGGCAAAATCTACTTACAATCCTAGGGAAGTTACTGGAAGAGTGCATTGAGTGATCTGAATGTTTTTTTCTTGATGTCTTTTATGGTGATATTTTCTGTCCTTTGTTTTGTGATTGCTTTATCTGGAGCTTCTGTCCTAAATGGTTCAGAGAAGATGCACATTTTTTTATTTTCCTTGTTTTCTTATTCTTGGAAAAGGTACCTTTCAAGGAAGTAGAAACTACCTCTCGAACATTATGGCAGTTCTGTTTATGTCACTGTCTATTTGCCTGCACAGTACCTTATAGGGTTTTTTTCTTAGAATATTACACACATACAAAGCCATTAGGTTTCAGGAACTCTGTTGCAGAAGACCAGTTCAGGTTTAGCAAGAAACTGAAAGCTCTGTGAAATGCTTGGGATGTATGTGAACAGAATCTAAGTTCTTGATGGGAATGAATGTCTTACTTTTGCCAATGTGAAGGAAGTAAGCTAGTTCTTGTTTCAAATGCTTGGAGGCTGCTCTAGAAGGAGCCTGCTGTCTACTGCCCTTTTTTTTTACTCATATCAACTGACATCAGCTAACTGACATCAGACGCAACTCATGGATGTGTTTGCATTCAGATACTGACTTCTGTTCCCTCCTTCCCACGATGTTCTGCAAAATGAGCAGTAATGGCAAAGCTTTTGCTGTAATAACTGCTTCAGACACGTTGCCTCTCCTACAAGTATTTCCCTTCCGAGAATGGGTATCTGGGTTTCAGTATTTTATGTGCTTACATGTCTGGTGGTGGTGTTAGTGATGTTGCGGTATGTAAAGTATTTATACTACTTGGTAGTTCCTACAGCCTGAAAGTTAGTTGGATTTTTTTTCTTCCTAATTATATGAAGAATAAGCTTTTGATAAGAGCATAAAACATTAAGAACCTATTGCTTGTTCACTTTTCCAGAAGTTGTCTTGGCCATTTCTATTTCTCTCTCTCCCCCGCCACCTCAGGTTACTGCCTTTATATCCACACTGCTTTCATTGTTGCTATCAGAAAATATGCCGTTGAGCCTCATCTTCCTAATGATGGCTTAACGCAGGCTCTGAAGGAAGTCTCTTCAGGTTGATACCTGCTTTCTACTTGTTTGATTAGTATCTCTGGTACCTTCAAACCTCAAAAATTCATTCTGAGTTTTCTAGATAATACAGAAATCTTCAGATCTGGGGATGGAACTGGGAAATACCAAGTGTATCCTACAAGTTAACACTTTTGGCTACAGGGGTGTTCATTTAGAGGGCATAACAAAAGCAGGACGTGTGTTCTTTAAATCAGCATGTTTTGCCTCACCAGATGATGTCTTATACTTCAGAATATTGGGATTTATTCTTCTGTTTTGTATTACAGGGGTCAAAACTTAGACAAGTGTAACAATTACTTTGTTTTTATTTTACTGTTAAGATGCTCTAGTAGCATAGCATTTTACCTTTGTGGTATCAAGAATACCACTTGTTATTATCTTTCGGGTTTCTGTGGAGTTTTAGTGTCAGTGTCTTAAAGTAGAGCTAGATTTACTTCTCAGTTCAAGCAGTCCCAAACATCTTGATTTTTTTCTTGAGCTTTATCAGCTGTTTTCATCATAACAATATTAACTCAGTTTAATTCCCTCATCCCCTAACTTTGGCTGCTGCTTAAAGTCAAACTTCAGGTTTTGTTACAGATTTCCATCGCATCTGTTTATGGGAGGTACAGACCTCAGTGCTAACTGAACACAGTGGCTATGTGCTTCCTGTTCACACACATTAATTTCATACATAGTTTCAAATGCTTAGATTGAATTTCAGAAGTGGCTTTGCCATCCCTGTTGATTGTCCCACTGTGAAGGATTAACACATAGTTCTTACAAGATGCATTAGAATTCAGACAGGAGTGAGGGAAGCTTCATTTGAAACTTAAAATAACTAACTTTTGCTTTATGTTGAAAACAAATAGGTGATTTATTCAAACTAGAAATTCTTGATTGTATTGGCTGAAAGCTGCAACTTTATGAAGTTGTAGACTGGTTGAAAATGAGTGGTCTTACGATGGTCCTTGAAACACAAAACAAGTTCCAAGATTTTGACAGCATTTTATGCATGAAAGGGAATTTCCAATGGTACTTTGCTTCTATTGCATTCTCTAATAGGTTAGTAGGTGCTTGCTGATACTAAAACAACAGTTTAATGCCAAATGTCAAATTATCTAGGCTTCTAAAGAGCAAGCACTGTGCTAAGCTAAAAAAGCTTCATGTGTTTTGCCAGTAAATTTCTTAGAGCACACTGTAATTGTTTTCAATTTACATTATAATTAAATGTAGAATAAAAAGGAGGTAAATGTCTTTTCACTACTGCTATAGGGGATGCTTACTAAATATCTCTGTTTGGTTAACACTTATTGAAGTATCACTTTCACATACAGAAATTTCTCTTCCTAGCTTTAGACTGTAAGCAAAAGAAGTCAAGATCAAGATCTGGAAGCAAGAAAAAAATGCTGCCATTACCTCATAGTGCTGATGAAGTTTACATACTCAGATGCAGGTACATAGGATTATTTTATTGAACAAATAAAATAATCTTTAGAGCTCACTAAGTTTAATCATAAGAAAATTTAAGATTATATCCTGTAAATGTGTTTGTATTAAATTTAATAATAAGGGAGGGGGAAATGGTTGCATATTTTAATTAACTTAAGCAAGAGGACTTGAATCAATCATACTCAGGCATTAGGTTGCCAACTTTCTCTAGCTAAAATCTTATTGGTCATGTCTGGGTAATATTCAGTCCTTCAAAAGAAACCTTACGTAAGGACAGACTGTTATTGCTAGTGTTAAAAATGTGTCAGCTGTATAAACTGCAGGGGTTTGTGCTCAAAGTTACTGTAAATGAACTCAATTACTAACATTTTCAGCTAAAATACATAGAAACAAGCTTCAAGAAAATTCAGACTTTCCACTTAATGTCTTGTCTTTATAGTTTTGCAGTAGAGCTAGATATATCTTGATGGAATAATTTTAATGTCTGCATAGGTTTTGTGGTCTGGTCTTTCGAGGACCTTTGTCTGTTCAAGAAGACTGGATAAAGCACTTGCAGCGACACATTGTCAACGCAAATCTTCCACGGACTGGAGCTGGCATGGTTGAAGTCACATCACTACTTAAAAAGCCTGCTTCAATTACTGAAACTTCGTTTTCTTTACTGATGGCAGAAGCAGCATCATAGAACAAGGAAACATTTTAAATTTTAATTGGATGTAAATTTGAAATACTTTGTCTTTTTTTAAATAAATTGCTACACTAAATTATGTTTATAAATGCTAAAGACAGAAAAATAGAGGAAGTGGATTACAGTAACATCAAAAGAAATTGAATACTTAACAGTTACAGTAAGTAGTCTTTATATTTTATATAGGGTGGAAGATGTGTTTTTAAGGTTTATTATGTTTTTGTCAGTTACTGTGTTCACTATCAATACAAGACCATTACATGTACGACAGCCATTTTTAAATTGTTGCACATGGGTACTTAAAAGACAGATTTTAATAAAACAAAGAATCCATGTTCTCTTCAGTGTTACCCAAATCAAGGCTCTGTTTATTCCAAAAAAGAATTACATAGTAAAATAAGATATTATTATATTTTGTTTGTATGTATGTAGTGTTTTGTATAATACCAAGAACTGCTAATACAATTTACTCAACTTAGGGCATTAAATATCATGTACTTCATAGTTCAAGAGACTGTTTCATTCAAATAGGGCAATTAGTACTATTCTATCTAGGTGTGTAAGTGTTTTTTTTAAATCACATGAGGCTTTTTGTACTAAAAAAGTGGAGGGAAACTTGTTTAAACAAATTTCTAAGAGAAATATGTACATAATACTGGAAATTTGTGGTAAGGAAATATTCTTTACTTCAGTTGCATTTCTCACTGACAATAAAGTGGTGCATCCATGCTACCTCCTACTTGTCAACAAAGATGGTATTTACCCTTGTTTTTGTAACATAGTAGATTCAATCCAACTTTCTTTATTACAACGCATTTTTTTGTTAACAAGTTTGTTTCTTTATGATGATTTACTTAAAGTCTGACTTGCTTACAGAAGTTTGCCTCTCTACTATTTTATTTAACACTGTAGAAATGTACTAATAAGCATTGCTCACTACACGGTTAGAGTAGACTTTTCATTTATAATTCTGTTTAAAAGATTGATCATTTTAGAGAATTCGAACACAGGTTGAAATGTTTCTACATATGAAGAGAATGTTTACAACTTAAAATTTAGAGCTTGTTTTGGATGTGATTATATGTATGAAAACTGTAACACTATGCTCATGCTAAGGACCTACTTACAGAATTACTGAAATAAATGTGCTGTGAGGATGGAAATATGGTGCAGGTGTCTTGGTCATGATAAATTGTGTTTGTTCATTTAAACTGTCTTCAGAACATGATTTTTGTTCAAATTAGATTCCTCTACAAATCAATTTTGTATGCGAGTAACATTTCATTTTACTCATATAGGGTAACAGATACTGTAGTTAAGCCAAGGATATGCATTGATATTTTCTTTATATGTAAATAAAGCTAAAAGCAGTTAAGAGGAGTATTTTGGTAGAGTATATACATACCTCACTGCCAGTGAAATTGCTTTCCTATGGTATATCTCCTTACCAGAAAAATCTCTAAATAAAAAGGTTTAAAGAAAATCTAAATGTCTATAATGTGAAGCATTTATTTGCATTGTGTGAATTAAGTTTGTGAAATTGATTTGTCTTGCTTGAGATTAGAATCTTCTCATGATCTTAAGTGAAAGTACATTTACTTGCAATAAACTGACTTGTTCACAGACGCATTACATTGGATTGGTGGAAAATGTGAAGGGAAATGTCTGTCTTCCTGTATGTGCACAGCTCAGAGTTAACAGACAAGGCTTGTGAATGTTCTGGTGAAATAGATGGGCTGAAACTGCTCAGCTGTGCAGAACAGGGTCTTGAGACAAAGCCATCCGAGCTCTGTCAAGGCTTTCATTAAATCAGTGCTGTCAGATGTTTTACTGTACAAGTTGCTACAGATAATTTTAGCTTTATTGTCAAAATTTATTCCCTTTTTTTTTTTTTAGCTCGAAGATCTGGATCAGTACTGGAGAAAAAAATAGAGATTTTAGGAAAGGTAACTGGGATGTTGAAGTGTGTTGCAGACAAATTATGCGTATGCAGACTAACACAAGTTTAAAATCAGTGGGTGATTGTGGGGTTGTTTTATAAACAGTGAAAATGGAAGTTTGACAGCAGTGTGTGAAAACGGGATAGAAGGAAGTGATCAAATCACCTTGAATGTTTATAATGCTTTAATAGAGTGCTTGTTTACCTTCTCACCAAAAAAGGTGCTTGTGAGAGCGCCATATTTTGTGGCTATTTAACAGATAAATCAATTAAGTGCAAATGATATTTATCTAGTATTGTTAAGAATGCTTGTAAGGTAAAGCCATACTGTGCGGAATTTCGCATTAGCAAAGATCTCCATTAGGTTCATAACGATAAAAACCCTAGTTAATTCTGAATTACTTAATTCATTAAATCCCAATAGTGAGCTGTTTTGTGTAACACTAAAATGCAAGGTTGTGTCTGAAGAACAGGGAGCTTTAGGGCTGATTAGTTTCCAAATGAGATTCTTTTGATGAGGAGCAGCAGTTTTCAGTGGCGGCTCGCATCAGATCCTTGGCAATCTAATTTGAAATAGATACAGAAGTTCTAGAGCTCTTCTGATTATTAAATTAATTGCATATATGATTGATATGGACTGAATGGTCTTGAAAAACTACTGGTAGTTGAGTTACCCTCGAGCTTTCTTTAGCCTCTAGTCCTCTGTGGAGCTCTTTTCTTGTTTTCTGGTGTTTGGAAATACAGATCTTCTGTCACTACCTACAAGGAGGAAAAAAAAAGTCCCCCTTTCCAGAGTTACAGACATTCTAAATAATCTGGTAGAAGCCAGTTAATTAAATCAGTTGCTTTATGGTACGAATCTCATGTTTTGAGATGTGTGGCTTGAGAGGCTCTGTGGCAGCCTCTGCCACAGGACTGGACTGACAGAATTGCACATACAAACACAAGTGTTGGTCTCTTCCCGTTAGGTAGTTTGCTTTGGGATGAAGGCTGCAGTGGTGTAGCAGTTTTTGGTAGTGTGTTTAGGCTGTATGTGTGGGAACTTGGAGATGGAGGCAAGTGCTTAACAAATGTTGATTCATAAAGATCCCTGGGCATTTACTGCCGTTTGCCATGTACTGCTTCCTGTGCACTCTGTGAACTGTATTAGGTGGGACGCTCCCACAGGTTGAGGCAGTCCAGCTCAGCCCATAGATCCAACTTTTGCATTCCTAGGGCTCATCTCCAGCCCTGGTGCCAGAAGTGAGCTGCTGACTCTTCTCTGTGGGAGGAAAAGCACAGACCAGACAATAGCCACTGGGGAGGGAGAGCAAGCATGTAACATGCCGAAGGTGGGGATTGTAACAGTTGGGGCTTATGTCCTGGGCGGACTTTCTGTGTTTGAGCTATGTGTCTGTCGAAGGTCCTGCCTTTTCAGCCGCATTCAGGGAAATCACCAAGGTCTCTGAGGTAAGTGGATCCCAGGAGGAATGTGAGTCATGAGTTGGGGCTCAGAGAAGTGCATCCATCCCGAGTTTGAAAAGGTCAGCAGCATGGGACTGAGAAGGGGAGATCTTTTCCTGCAGGGCTGGTTTGACTCCAGTGCTTTTTTTGGGCCAGGTGTGGTTCTGGGTTTCCTGTGTATCATTAGTGCTTTAAAGAGGGGTTTCTCGCTAAATCTTCTACCTGACTCTGAAAACAAACGTGGGGCAAATGAACAGCAAGTATCAAGTACTTTCTTTTAACTGAGTGGTAAGGGCTGCATGCAAAGGCTGTTTAGCTGAGCACTATGGTTAACAGACTTTTCCACTTTTTGTCACAGTAGTTAATGCCCTGGATACTTAAACACCAGTTGAATATTTAAAATAAATTTGGTTTATATAGTTTTGACTTTATTTTTTAAATCCTGTTAGGATGGTAATTCCTTAAAAAAACTGCCTGCATTATGATTTCAGATATTTCAATCCACCATGCTTTGTAGGTGCTGTTGCCTGATCCATGGGTAGCAATTTTGGTGTAATGGAAACATGTGGCCATAGTGCCAGGTCTGTAATCTCTTGCAATAAAATGTTCCTTTTTAACACTGCAGGCTGCTTGGTGTTCTTCCTGTTGTTCGGAGCTGAGCTGCATGGCACACCTGGCTTAACCCGGGGACTTCCACCCTAACCTGAATAGTTGCATGGCGAGGCAAAGAGGACAGGTCTGTTGGCTTTAGCCTTCTGAGAAGTCAGAGGTGAGGCAGAGAGAGGCTATTTGCATTGCAGCATTGGGGAACAGAATGAGGACTGGGAAGGGAGGCTATTGCCCAAGACAGGAGCCCAAATCGGATGACAAATCACGAATGACAGCGATCTCATCTGCACATATCCTCCCACTTCTCAGGCTGCATAATCTATTTTTTTCACCTTCTTTCCCGATTAGAAGCAGTTTGTCCCTACAGTGCTAGCTGCACAGTGCCTTCCATGTACTCCTGGACCCAGAGTACTCAGAAAAACCCAACCTACCTGGTGCTCTGCACCTTCTCCTGCTACAGCATGAAAGAAGTCATTGCCATACCACTATGGTGTGGCACACACAGAGAGCATAAATGCAGGGGTTGGTCAAATTTGGCATGAAAGAATATTGGCAGTGTTGTTTACTTGTTTAAACAAGGGCTGGAGTGGGGGTTACCTCCACGCTGTCTTACTAGGGTTGACGTACTGGCACTGCTCATTCTTATTTGTAGTTGCGCTATAGGCTGATGAACTTGTATTGAAAAAAGCAAAGCAGGAAATCCCTGTAACTTTAGTGCTCTGGTCCCCTATTAGTGGTGGAATCACCATCCCTGGGAGTGTTCAAAACCCATGTAGATGAAGCCCCTAGTGACATGGTCTAGTGGTGGCCTTGGCAGTGCTGGGGTAATGGTTGGACTTGATGATCTTAAAGGTCTTTTCCAACTTCGTTGATTTTATTATTCTATGATTAAAATTTTAATACAGGTCAGCTAACAGCCTTTTATAAAACTTGTTAGTAACATTCAAGTGTAGCAAGTAGAACAACGTTGTGGTCCAAGTAGCTGGCGCCTGGCTGCACCCAAGCACAGGCAACCCCAACCTGCCAGAACGGAGGTGGAGGAGTCTGTATTGCTGGTTATGAAGGCGGTTTGCACATGTTACCTGAAGGCTGACATGCTGCTATTTTGGCTAGAAATAAACGGAGTAAACGCATCCCTGTAGGGATGCTTTTCTCTAGGAGGAGGCAAAGTTTGTTATAAAAGCCCTGAAAGACCTTTCTTGTGCAGGCCCTGCACTCATTTTGCTGCAATTAAAACTCAAGGAAGTAGCATCCGTCGTAACTGTGAGCCCAGAGACCTCATGATTACAAGTCTTACTGTCCAGTGGGGGAACAGAGGGAGCCCTGGAGCCTTCTCACAGCTTCCAAAGTGCTTATACTGTACATACTGTATAACCTGCAGCACTGTTGGGCTTTCTGTCCTGTATCTTCACTTAAAAGTACGCTTTTAACTCAAGATCTGAGGGATGAACAAGAGATGATTTCAGGGTTGGAACTAGATGATCTTAAGGTAATTTCCAACCCTATGACTCTATAATCCCTCTGCTTTTGTGTCAGAGACCTGCAACACAAACTGCTTACATGGCATGTATGGTGAGTATTCCTAAATATATATACCACTTCTTAAACAGCTGATTATGGGAAACTGGAAACTTCACAGTTAAACATCTGTTTACGTATCTTTAAGCCAGCAGCAGCTGTGAATCATGTTTGTAGCTCTCTGTGAAACTCCTCCAATCCATCCTCACTGCTGCAGCAACTAATGCTGTAACTCTGAATCCCATCGTGCTCTTTGAAACAGCTTCAGAACAGAAGTGGCTTGGCGAAGCAGCGAGGAAGCCAACACCATTAACCTGTGTTTTAACCAAATAAGGAATTCCATGTCATCCAGGTACAAGTCTTGCTGACAAGAAATGATACTTTCATCTGTCTCTTGTCTGAATAAAACAATTGTGTGAAAGTGGGAGAAAGAAAAGAGCCTTATTTGGATAAAGCAGCAGGGAAAAAATGTTTTTTTTTAAACAAACAAATGAACAAAAACCCCATAGGTTGAAACAGAAACTGCAAACGGAGAAGACAGTGTAAGCCTGAGGTTGGCACTTGTTTTTGTAGTCCTTGGAATCCTGATGATGGCTGCATTTGCTGTGCCTCCAAATCTTCAGGGGTGCGTTTGGGTCCCTGGCACAGGGGAGGTTAGGGCAAATATTATCCTTAGCTGAGCAGCCAAGGAATACGTTAAACCCAAACTGTTAAAGAAATGGGTAGTGACAGGGAAAAGAGGTTTTAAATCCCATTTCTTGTGTTGAAAGTCAAGTGTACCATTCCCTTTGCTATCTGGAGTACATTTACTGGTGCTTTTTATGTGCTACGTACAAATTCATAGGCATTTGGTCCAATCATGAAGGAACTTTAGCTGCTCTTCCCACATGTGGCCTCAGTCACAAATTTGATGCTGAGATCTGAATATTCTGGGTTCTGTTCATGCAGGAATTACCATTCACTGCCTACAAAAAAATCACTATTTTTCATCCATCATTTGACAACATCCTCTTATTGAAATAACCTCCAATACTGAGCTCAGTGTTCTCTGGCTGCAGCTGACCATGAGTGCTAATGAATGACTAAAGACCTTGACCCAGAATGTGAGTGTTCTTCCAGGATCCCAAACTCATTTCTTTGCCCTCAGGCCCCAGTTCCCATCTGGGGATGGTACTTAGCCGCGTCTCACTGGGCTGCTAACCTGACCATTTTCATTATCTTCATTCCTAGCTGGGTCTGTTTTCCTTTTCCTCGATTTTTGCTTATATCCACATTTGCTTTTTCTTCTTCGTTTTTCATCTCTCTTGTTCTCTAGGACTTTATTTTACCTCTGGCTACCAGTGATGAAGCTTTTTTGGAAAGTCCCATAAGCTATATCACTGTGAACACAGATAGAGTACTGTTTAGTATTCTTAAAAGCATAGCTAATGGCCTGATTTCTGATTTATTTTATATGGAGGCAGCAGCCTCCAGTGGTGGGGGAGGAGGAGATATTTAGGTTTTTGGAAGAAGAATTATACAGAACACAAGTCCCAAGTTATAGAGTTGGTACCAGCCCAGGACTGGCGATGACTTTGCTCTTGGGAGCTTATGGGCAATCCGCGTCCATCTGGATCAAGAGTACTCTGAAAAATCCAATATACTTGGTGCTCTGCAACTCCCTCATCTGCTGCAGCCCATGGGCATGAGCCCATCTTGGAAAGGGAACATTCTGTACCCTCTTTCTGGTTTGTCTGCATAAACATGGATTCCTGGCTTTGCTTTGCTTGCTTTCTTTTGGGTTTTCCTTCTTTTTCCTCTTTTTTTCTTCTCTTTTTTTTTTGTTGTTTTTCCTTTTTTCCTGACAGCCTTTGTGAAACCATATAAGTATTTAGAAAATGGAGCATTTGCTTGAATGATTTTTGTTAAGAAGCAGCTGGTCAGCTTCTTCGAGCAATGCAAAACATGGATGTCTATTAAAAAACGGTAAAATCACATTGGAGAACCCTAGCCCATTTACTGAATGCAGTAGATAACATGAAATTCTTAGAAAATTGTGATTTCAGGTCTAGGTGTAGAAATCAGCCAAGAGTACATGAGTAGCCCCCTCCACTGCCAGCAGCAAACAAAAATAAGCAGCCTACAGGTTTCTGTAATTCACTGCAGTATGCAGCAGCTGGCACGGAATTCCCCCAAGGAATGGGAAGAAGAGGGGGAAGCCCTGCTTTTCAGTTCTCCTGATGTAACATGTTGTGTGTGCTGGGCTGTGGAAGTTGTATGATGGTCCAGACTACATTTCCTTCATGTTACCTTAGGAGTTGAAAGCAGCAGGTATGTTACATGGGAGTATCTGCAGTCTAGATGTGGATGATACCTGCTACTGTGGCAGCCAGATTTACAGTGTCTTAGTCTCTTTTGAAGCAGTAGGTGCTTATCTTGCTGTCGTCTTCCAGATTTCAGATGTCTTCCCTACCTTAACAGACTGAAAATGGCTATCCTGGCATCAGTGTGGTGTTTAGGTACAGTTAGTGCTGTAACTGGAAAACAAACCATGGCCAAGGGTGCTGCTGGGGACACACCGAATGAAGCCACATCCTACTCCTTCAGCTCTCCTGAAGTACTCCATTAATGTTCAGATGACCTGATTATTGCTGGAAGCTCATTGGATGGGAGAGAGGAATTGTGCCTACTGCTGGAAACATTGCTCAGAAGCTACTAGTGTAAGTATTTTCTGGTATATTCAAGTAAAAAGTATGATTTTACTATTATGATGGTAAGTATACTAGTATGTTGGTGAAATGCACCTGCTTTAAAATACTCTCCTTGAGAAGTTAATAGGAGGAGAATAAGAAGTGCCAAATGTAGTCTCTCTGAGAAACTGGTGCATCTGACATGGAAAAATGTATCTTTGCTTCAAGATCAGGTATTAGGTAAGAAAATAGCAGATGTGATTAAACTACTTTGGGGAGCCTTAACAGATGTATCTGCTGCTTCTAACAAAGCCTGTAAGCCTGAACATTTTGTTTTCTTCCATGCAAAACATGGCTTACACACTATAGAATGGGAAATGCAAGATAAAAAGGAGAAAATTATCTCACTGCAGTATTTTCATTAGGATTGTGCAAGGTAAGTCATTTCCCATAAAACAGGAGGAGGAATGAGCTGTGGAACCCGGGTGTGCTGCAGCAAGGCTGGTAATTAGAATGTAGTCAGGCAAAATCACAAGGGGGTATGTAATAAAAGCAAGCTTTAATGTGATTTAATTACCATGACGGAGTTGCATTCAGTGAGAGTCTGGTCACCCAGTGCAGTGTGACATCCTCCTCTATAGAGATGTGTTCCTGAAGAGGCTTCCACCTCAGCCATCTGGCTCGGCCACAAGTGCAGTGCAGTGAGGGACATGGAGTCCAGTGGGACTCACTAAACTTGCTGTAATGTAGGCACAGCATCTTGTAACAAAAGCGTGAATACAGACCTAATTCTGTCTCATGTGGGAGTATGTCATTTAAAAGAGAT